AAGCCACTGAAATTAGTGCTGGCTTTAAAATTATATTTTCATTCAATTTTCTTAAATCAACTCAATTTACCTAATGAAATGTGGGCTTGATTTACAGAAGCACCAACAGAGCACAGCTCTGTGGTTAAACCTTACAAATTACAGGAATTCCACACTGGGGATTTGATGGGAATACAAACCCTCAACAAGTCCAAAACAGATAAAGTAGATTTCAGGCAGGAATCCTTGAAATCCCAGTTCAGCTTCTGTTTAGTGTTTCTGTTGCCTGGAGTTGTAGATACTTCTATTTTTGGACCCTGAAGTTTATGAAGGGTTTCAGTCCTAACAGTGATCATCTCAGCACTAATCTCAGACCAAAACCTCCCTGGGCTCCACAGATAAGGTGTTCCTCATCCTCTGATCAGGCACAATCAGGGAATATCTGATAGACTGGACAATAAACAGCCCTGCTGTTGCTCTCCTTTCTGATTCTTCAGTGGTCGCTTCCTTAAGAAGCCAAGACTTTGCTGCAGGAGGAAAGTCAAAATCACATCTCTCCCCTGTCAGGGGAAGAATTTGTCCTCCAGGAGTGAGAGAGCTCCTTACCCATTCTGTTTTACAGCATAAAATCATTAAAGATTCATTAAAGCACAGAGAGAGCACAAACACGACCCAGCAGTCAGATGGTCAGAGAATCCTGTGGCTGCTCTCTGGGCTGAGTTACTGTTTTTTCTCTTGCCAATTGAGTACAAACCAAGAACACCTTGGGAAATGCAGCCAGTGAGACACAGAAAAACAACTATTTAAGTGATTCATGCCGGGAGAAAAGCCAGAAAGATGCATCCCACCAACAGAGAGAATGAGGAAAGAATGAAATCTTCTTCTTGACTAAAACATGAACTGCTGCAAGATGCTCCAACTTTTACTCCTGTCCCTCATGGCAAGACTTTTAAATAATAGTCCTCCTTCTTCCCTGGAGTTTTGTAGGAAGAGGTGAGTGCAAGTGGCCCCGATTAAGGACACATGCAGAGGTCATGCTGCCAACCAGTGACCATCAGTGCCTTCATGGCTGACAGGAAGGTGTCACCATGGAAGCCTGGCACTCCTGAAGACAGAGGGGATGAGAACATCCACAAGGCAAACAGGGTTGGGTGGAGAATCCATGGAAACCGGGCACGGAGCCCTCACATGCAGGTCAGAGAGGGCAAACAGAACCTTTCCAAACTCATCCTGGCACGGCCACATTCCTTCACATGCCACTTGCATCCGGGCAGGCACGTTCCCATCATGGCAACCTGACTCCAAAGAGTGCTACATGCAACACAAATGGAAGTTATCTCTTCAGGCAAGTCTTAGTGATCTCCTGCCATGTGGAATCACCATGGGAAAAGCTGTGACATCCAGTGGGACAAGACAGGTCACAGAGATTCAAAGGCAGCAATGCAAGTGAGAGTGGTGGGATGACCATCAGGAAAGGGAGACCTTGCTTTTTGAGCCCTGCTCTCTTCTGGGAACACACAGAAATACTGGGCAGAGAAGAACATGAGAACCAGAACCACTCCATGCAGTTTTGGTTGGTCATCTCACATGCTGCATGAAACTCCCACAAGAGATGCAAATGTCTTGGGAGACATTTGGTTTCAAGAAAGAAGAACAAAAATGACATGCAGGTGCCTCTCCAGGCTGAGAAAGACATGAAGGCCTCCCACCCACAGCAAGGCAAGTGAGGGTGGGATGAACAGCAACTTCATTCAGGATCAAGTGCAAAGATGCCCCATGAAAAACATCAACCACCTGGAGCAGGTCAATTATATATACACAGGACTTGCAGAGAAGTGTATATATAAGGAAACCAATCATGGTTTACCACTCTCTTAATGCTGGGGGCACTTTTTCAGCCTTTTCCATTTCTTTTTCTGAGCATTCTCAGTGTATTTCAGAGCGGTCTCCCTATAATTTACCACAGGAACGATGACGAGTTGGAGCCACGTTTTAGAGCAGTTCGGTGGACAGCGAAAGAAAGAAGAATGAAAAGCAAACCTGGAAGGTGAAACAGTGAAATACCTGTGGTTGCCAGTGCTGTCAGGGTCTGCCCACCTTGCCCATCAATTACACCATGGAGCTGGACAGTGTAATTAGTGGCAGCTTTGAGGTTGGTCACCACATAGCGCCGGGAGGCCCCCGGCACTGTGAGCACCAGGGAGTCCAAAGGGAAGTCAGAGTTCCTGACCTCTAGGATAAAATGGTCAAAGGCATTGTCCTGTGCTTCCCACGTGAGTGACAGGCTGTCTGAGGTAGCATTTGATACAGTGAGTTTGCTAAGGAGAGGTTCCTCTACTACGGGAAAAAAAACAAACGGAAATGTATCGCAATTATTAAAAGCCAAAGCAACAAAATAAATTCATATAGAAGCTTGAATTTACATGACCAGTGGTCACAAAGGTCAGTTAGCCTTGAGTTTCTCCATGTTTTTCATATCATCACCCCTGCAGTCACCCTGAACATGCCACCCATCGTTCAGTGAGGATGTTCACAGTCTGCTGACGCTGGAAACTCAAACTGCCTCACCTGATAGCTGAGATGTGATATTCTGCTTTCATCTACCACATTAACCTATTGCTGTGACAAATTGCCATGGCAACTTTTCCTAAGATCATGTCAGCAGGCACAAAACTTGGCACAGATATGAAATGATCCCAACGTGAGCTCTTATCTGCCTACAGTGAGAATGCACCTTCTGTTCCTGCAGTCCAGCCTCTCACACTGTCCTTGGCTAAAGCACACTGAACGTTTGACTGCCCTGTCTTTTCTGGAAAAACTGTCAGCTGTAAAGCCTCGAGCTGTGCAGTGTGCCAACAACTAAATGCCTGCCTATTCCAGTCACTGACATCAAGTCAAATGGACTTTTTCAATCTCTCATCCAATGTAAACGGAACACTGAAGCTGAATTCAAGCAGTGAATGTGCCTTGCAGGATCCTGCTGGCACAGACTGAAACGTGCCTGACATCTATTTAGAGACTCAGGATAAAAAGTGTGTGCAGAAATCAGCTTATTTGAGACAAATAGTGTCTGCTCTGGGCTGTGTGACGGATGCAAACATGTGTTGAAGGGTGAATATAATGAATCATCTCCCTCTTGGTTCTTGGGAAATGTGGTTTGCTTCTCATCTGCCTTGGAGGTTGCCCCAACCTTAGTGTTTGAACAACCTTATCGTGTGACTCAACTCACAGCCCAACGTGACTGACTGACTGACTTTGCTGGATGGATTTTGGTGGATTAACATTCAAAAATTCAAAAGGTCCCAAGTTGGTCTTCCTTAGAAGGTGTCAATCAATTGAGGTAGAGAGTTTGGCAGTGGATTGGTGGGGGAGCTGAGGGCAGGGAAAGGGGCACAGCCTGTAAGGAAGAGTTAGAAAAAATGAGAGTTAGCAGCGAGGGAGGTTCATGTACCTGTTGTAGCTGCAGCACTTATTGCCTGTGTGCGGAAACCACGAGAGATCCCAGAGAGGTAGACAATGAAATCAGTGCTGGGAGAAAGCCCTGAGATATGAGCAGTCCTTGAATTGCCTGAGAGGTTGAACTCCATGGGCTCCAGCAACCTGTTAGAATCAATAATTTCAATAGTAAAGGCGTCGAAGGCCCCGTTGGCTGTCCAGGAAAGGTTGAAGCTTTCGGGAGTAATGTCGGAAACCATGAGCTCACCAACTTCGGGGTGCTCTCCTGAGGAGGGAAACAACACTGGTCAGAAGGGACAGCCCTGCACCTCCTCCTGCTGCTCAGAAATGCTCCTCTCTGCCCATGCTGGCAGCACTCCAAGCTGGACAACGGGGGGTGTGAGTAAAAGCTTGCTACAAGCAGATGGGTACTAAGGGGAAGAAATCAAATGAAAGCAGCACAGACTGTTAAATAAGACTAAAAAATAAAGTAAGCTTTAAAGCCATGGCTGTTCCCCCTATCTGCAGGAGCAGCCATACATCTTTGAGGTCTGAGCACGAAAGCAGATGCAAAAAAACCTTCTCTGAATCCATTTGGAAAAGTCAGTTTTAGGAGAAGGTAAAACTGGAGGTATTTGCTTTATCCAAAGGAAAAGGTTGGGGTTTGTTTGCCACATCCCCTTTCAGGTTAAGCCAGTGAAAGCTGGTTTGTAATTTTGGAGCTGGAGACAAAATGCAAAACAGGGATAGTTGCCTTGGGGTTTCCTCCTCTCTGTGGACATCCCTGTAAAGCCACAGGAAGGGGCAGAAAATTCTGATAATTGGAAGCCCCTAGAAGGGAAATTTCTGAAAAGCCTGGTGCTGAGCAGACCCAGAAAGGGAAGGGAAAATCTCAGCAGGGCATCCTCTGCTGTTTTCACTGGTTTAAGAGAAAGAGAGCACATTGCAGATTTAAGCAGGACACCCATGATGTCTGCTCCTTTGTTTTTCCAGCCAGGCTGGTCTGTTTTCAGTGGGAATCTGCCACCAGCTCCCACTCAGGACCCTCAAAGCACAACACTTCTAGTGGGACACAGCCCAAGGCAAGAGCCTGGTGCCAGACACATTTCTGCCTAAAGCACTGTTGGAACCATCAAGCTCTGCTGCATCTCATGTTTTAATTCTGATTAGTTCTTACATGGACTTTCATCCCCTTCTGGGCTGGGTAATATGTGCTTGGAAATCAAGCATGAGCCAGCTCTGGCTGTCTCACAATGACAGGAGGTTGCCAAGGTCTGTAAGGAAGCCCAGAGGCAGAAGATGTTGTCTACAAGAAATTATCTGAAGGAAGAGCCACTGGTGCTCTTTTAGTGCCAATTAATTCATGCTCTGTTCATTAACCATGATCAGAACACCAGGAAGGAGCAGTGAGCCACGAGGATAAATGGAAGTAGATATTTACCTCTCACAGTCCAAGCTCTCATTTAAAACTGCTGCCTTTCACAGGAACAGCCAGGAAATTATTTTTGTGGCTCTTGGTGAGCTTCAGGCAACATTCTGATAACGAAAGGATGGCCTTCCTTCTTTCAGAGCAGTTTTATACCAGGGTAGTTCTGAATTTGATCTTCTTGCATTACATTTGTTTCAGCCCAATCAGATTGTTTAATGACCTTAGATGACTTAATATATGATACTACTCTCAGTAAGAATTAATTTGTGTCCTTTTCTATATGAGAACACGCAGAAGATGTTTGTCCCTGCCCTTGAGGCAGATACACACACTATGCCCCCCTGAGTTCAAATTTACACAGAAGCTACTGCATAATTTCAGAGGAAGCTTCTGAAGGAAAAAAAAACCTAAACACACTCCCTGGCTTTGATAATCTGAGCTGTAGAGAAAGGATTTTTATCATTTTACCAGGCAACCTGGGCTTTTCCAAGCATGTACAACAGCCAGCTGGGTTTGGTGTTAGTGCCAACCAGCAGGTGAGTGAGCAAAGGGAACAAAACAAGCCATTCTGAGCAGGGAAGAGGGAAAGCATTCCTACAGGGGAAGGGCACTGACACTCTTGCTGGAAAGTCAGACCTTGAGACATTTCCATGCCAGAGCTGTTCAGCCAAGCTTTAAGGAGCTCAGTGCCCCCCATGCACATGGAATAGCTCTGCCTCCCATCCCTGCCTGGGAAGAACAGGGGGCTGGAGGAGCGACTGGGAGAGATACCTGTGGTGGTCTCAACAGAAAGGGGGGTGGTCCTGCGGCCTCTGAGCACCCCGTGGAGTGTGATGTTATAGGGGGTGTTGGCCCTGAGGCCTGTGACATTCCCAGAGCGCAGCCCCCCCGGGACTGTGACGTTCCGGCTCTCCTCGGGGTTCCCAGCCTCCTGCACCTGAATGACAAAGCTCTCATAGGCCCCGTCCTCTGCTGTCCAGGTGAGCTGGAAACCATCCCAGCCAGCCTTGGAGACTGACAGCTGCCCAAGCTCGGGTTCCTCCTCTGAAGAAGGACAGAGAGTCAATCTGTTACTCGGGTTACAGGGCAGGGGGGATGTCGTACTGGTTAATGATGTTCTGGGTTACTGCATTTCACAGAGATGCCCTCACACACATTTACATTCTCAGCTGCCCCAGGTAGCTGTGAGTAAAGTCTCTCTGGAGAGAACTACAAGTAAAGTCTCTTTAGAGACATGGCAAAACAGAAAAGTAAGAAAAGAACTGTAATAATAACTGTAATAATAAATATTACCCACATTAATACTAAAAAGACTGCTCACAGAAACCACCTTACACCTGTCAGTGTTTTGCCAACATTAATAACAACTCCCTATAAGACAAATATTACTGTAATCACTCTGCTACACTCCTAACAACTCAATGTTTGCCATTCTGAAGTAACTGTGGTGTCAGGACAGGAAGACATTGAGTTTAGAGCAGTTGGGATTCGGATGTTTATGTTTTTAATTGTGTCCACATGAATGATGCTGTTTATGCTTCCAAACTATTTCTATTACAAAACAATAAAGAGGAGGAAAATTCCTCCATGTTTGCACGTCTATAAATGGATTTGTCTTCCTTATATCACATTATTCTGTGCACAAAGCACTTCCTGCAGGCACAGGAGGTTGGATTTTCAGAGTTACTGCTATTAATCTAAAATTGAAATGTGCATTCACAGCGATGAACATTCTCAGAAGCCACCACGGGGGTGGCCAAGGAAGTTGGGAACCATCAGAGCTCTTAAATCTCTGATGTTGTTAAATCTGAAAGCTGAGCTCATTTTCTCAGCAAGAATAAAAAGTCCTTTGTTCCAAAGGAAATAAAACTGATTCCTTAACATCAGCAGTGACATGGGGAAATGACAGAGTAATATCTGTTTTTTCCTACCTGAGCTGTCATTGACCTGAGGGTTACAAAGACTTTCTAGCACATTTCTTATTTATTTGCATTGTTGACACATAAACACTATAATAAGAACAGAGTCTCTCTGAATAATCCCATTTTGCATGACTAAGAATTTCAAGAGGTGCTGCATGAAGGGGAGTGGATCTGATTTGCCAATTGTAAACTTCAGCTTAAGCTTTCTGCATATTTTATGACAGGAGTTAAAGGAGCTCTGGAATAAATGAAAATCAGGCTCAGCAGCATCACTCAGCTAAATTTGCTCCTTGTAAAAACAAAGTGATTATTGTCTGACTGCTCAGAGGCAGCTGGGGTTGGATTTTCAGAGGTTGAGCAGTCATGTATCACAGTTATATTCAGTGAGATTCATTAATAAATCAGTAAATTGCCACGACTCAGGAACACAGAAGTTTTGATGAGTTTTTCCCATCCTGCTGGAAGGAAAGAGATTGTTTATGAAAGAACAATGATGTTCAGCAACAAAAAAATGCATTAATCCAGAGCTGTCTGGCTTTATCAGGAACAGAAAGAAGATTCACTGAGGTACAATATGAATCCTGTCAAAATATCACTGTTATCTGGAAAAGAGAAAGCAGGACAACAAAGGAACTGGTTATCAGAAATAATGATCTGTTGGTGGCAACAGAAACAAAGAAAACAAACACATTCCCTTAAAATGAAAATGAAACAAAAGTTACAGTAAGGCTAGATCTTGATGTTGATTATAATGAGTATATTATCAGTATATTATCAGTACAGGTTAAAACAATTCAGGTTTCTCTGAAGAATGCTCATTCTCCTTCAAGATGCAGAGTCCCTTTTCCTCCCATTTGTTCCTCATGCACATCTGAGACAGAAGTAACACGACCCCCTCATGCTCTCCAGGCACCAAGAGATTCTCACATGAAATCATGAACCAATCTGGAGACCTCCAAAAGCCTCATTAATTACAGCATCCATTGGAGATGACAAAACACCCACTGTCACAATAAATAGCGAGGGATGGTGTTTCTTACTTAAAAAAAAAAAAAAGAGAGAACAAACCATTGAGAGATGAGGCTGTTGTGGCCTTGTAGTTGGTGGGAAATGATCTGTGTGTTTCCATGTAAATATTTTACCTCATGTTGGCAGTTTGGGTGTGAGAGATGGACAAAGGCAGTCATTAGTCTCCAGATCTGAACTTACACACTGGTACTTTGATTATTATTGATCTCAGCCCTGTGTCTACAGGATTAATTCCTCATGAAATTCCATATAATGAGGTAAGAGGTGGAAAAAACATTTTCAGAAAGGTAACTCCCAGTGTGTTACAATCTTTTTTCTTTCTTCTCTGACATTGCCACTTCCCTGCCAACGCTGCAAACTGCTTGTAATTTCTTGTACTTGAACCACATCCCAGACAAACACCTGCAGCATTTTGCTATTCTCACATGCCTTACCAATAGCAAATGCATCAAAATCTCTCTTTACATGCAATTTGAAGAGAGATTTGATGCTACATCACCTTAAAAGCTGAACGGGGCATTTTCTGCATCACTCAAGGCTCTCATTCCATAACAAGAAGAGTTTTATCCCATGCAAAAGGAAGAATAAACCAACTAAGAGGAAATGCATCACTCACAAAGCCCAGAATCTCTGCAGTGGAACAGCCACATGGAAATGAAGGTCTGTATTTTAAAGCAGCAAAGGAACACATGGCTCATGAATCCATGGAAAATACCTGTAGTAGCTATGGCTTCCAGGGACTGAGAGAGCTGGCCTTGAGTGCTTCCATGGAGGTTAATCTGGAATTTGTGCCAGCTGGGAGATTGGGGATTTCTGTTTTCTTGATGGTTTCCCAGCAAAAATATTCCTGTGTTCTGTTCAAACTGCTCAGGTCTTTCAGAGTGATAAAGAACTGATCAAATCCCTCACACCCTGTGCTGCCCAGGACAGGGGGAAACTTCTGAAAGTCTTGGGAGTTATACTGAGGTAATGAAGAGCTCAGTGGCTTCTGAGCTGGGCAGGTCAAAGGACACCAAAAGCAGAGCAGGAGAATCAGTGCTGAGGGTGCTTAAATAACTGAGAGGATTAAATGAGGTTGCACTGATCGATTCTCCAGGTGTTGTGACTAGAAGTGCTAAACAGAGGCAAAACACAAGTTGAAATTTCCTGATGATAAACCCCCAAATAAACCAAACTACATCTGCTTCAGCACAGTTTGTGTGCTTTGCACTGAGGAGCTCCAAGAGCAGAGAAAAAGGAGGAGTTCTCCTTTTTTTGGAGACTGAATCCAGGCCACAAGCAGAGGCAGCAGCACCAAGCACATCATGGTTCTCCCAGAACCACAATAACCAGCAGGTCCAGAGCAACAACCAGAGCTGAGCTCAAATGCTTCCAGCAGAGAAAGGGCACATCCTCAGCTGATGTAAATCAGTTCTCTTTGATGACCTCCAAAGAGCTTTGCTGATTTATATCGGGGAGGATTTGAACCCTCAGCCTCAAACATGCCTTTTGTCTTTACTGCAGCCCATCAGTTACTGCTTCTGCCACAAACCAGGAGTGAATCCATGCCACAAACACATCCAAAGCCAGAAATCAGCCACAGGAGAACCCTGTTAAAGATCAATTAAAAACAGGCATTGGGATACATGCAGAAAAAAGTGAAGGGGGACACACAACCTTAGTTAAACACTAGGGCAGAAAGAACTTGAGCAATCTTTCTTTAGAGAGATCCCAAGGAATGGAAAGGGAAAAGCCTTGGCCTTCAACATGCTGAATGATCCCTGACTTATCCTGTAGCACAGCCAGATTCTGAAAATCTGAGGAGTGTGGAGTCACAGAGAACATGTTTGTGATCACAGCCCCAAGGCAAGAGGCAGGTGACTTCTTTGACATGCAGAATTATCTCCTCATTAGTGGAAACCCACATCATTTCACACCTCAGTGACTTCCTTGCTTTCATGCTCCACTTGCATTCAATTAAGAGAGAGCAAGTCATCCAGCACCATCAATCAGCTCAGCACAAATATGTACTCAGGATTCATTATCTGTCTCCAAATGAACACATTTATCAGAAAGAAATATATTTTCAGAGGAGTAAAATCAATTAGAAATGTTTTCAAATAGAAGGAGAAATGTTATCTTGAAAATAAACTTTCAGGGCAAGCACAGATGTAAAAACATTGTTTTCTGCTCACCCCAGGAAGGAGAGAAGCCTGTAAGGTAAACAGGGATTTATGTTCACATGTATCATTGATATTCTTAAATCAGGAAAGGACTGTCCTTAAATCACCCCAGACATGATTTGAATCAGGTTGCAACCTGGAGACAACCATGTTCTCATCACACCACCACACATGTGACACATGATGGTATTTTCATTCTTTTCAGACTCTTTTATCAAACCACTTTCCCCTCTCTCAAGTAATTAAAGTGGGCTAACAGTGCCTGTGCACCTCTGAATTTCATGAAGAGGCCACTGCAGCATCAGAAACCAGAAATACTGCAGCAGCTACCACTAAAATCCTCCTCTGGGAATCAGGTTCCAGGTACTCTCAGCTGAGAAAATGGACCTTCTTCCCCGGCAGATTTAGTTTCCCAGTGGTCAGCACTGCAGTTTCCCCTGGGGCTGGTTCACCTAATCACTCTTCCTAATGTCTCCCTGAGTTTGTACAGAAAAGGGTGGTGCAATCTAAGAGCAGAGGAGCCAGGAGAGGAAGAGGGACTGACGCACAACACACACACAAGGGCCTCTGGTAAACAGCATAAATCTGCCTGAAAACATTCAGCAGAATGGAAAAGTTGCTTCTCCAAGCCATGCTCGGATGTGCAAACCCACTTCCAGAGGCAGGAGAGTATCACATCCACGATCCATCAACAGTTGCTGCACAATCTGGGTCCCTCAGCAGAGGAATTCGAGCTTGGCTCTTGGTTCCTCTCATGTTCACTCATTTGTCTCCCTGGGCCTCTCATGCCTGATGGATCACCATCCATCCTGCCCCAGGCCCCACATTGTGCTCTGCAGGCAGAGCTCCAGAACCAGAGCAGGGGAGAACAAAGCTGCAGTCTGGCTGCTCAGCTTCCTCAGAGCTGGGTGACGTGCTCACCCTGCAGATTAGCTGGAGACCTGATGGAACATTCTCAAGATGTGCTGCCACAAAGGGCCCTCCAACGAGTAAAAAAGCTCATTTCTGAGTCAGGTCTTAGTGCTGGGTGGGGCCTTTGTGATACCTTCATTAAGAACAGAAAGGAGGTCCCAGATGGGGCCACAGCTCCAGAGAACAGCTCTGTTCTCCAGCCAAACCATACACCTTGATTTTATGGGAAGTGTTAGCTTGGAGGTCAGGGATTCCCTGGGCAGGAAGGTCTCTGCAGTGGGCACAGCTCCAAAACTCCACCCAAAAACCAGTGCAGACTCCTGTATTCACACACCACGAGGCACTAAAGCTGTGGCCTCTTAGCCTCAAGACCTCGAGGTCCTTCAGCACATCTCCTGAATCCCAGATGCCTCTGGAGCAGGAAAACTCCCAGAGAAAGGAAGCTCCTCTTGCTCAGGACTCACTGCCTGAATTAGGGTTACACTATATAGAGCTACAGGAGACAAACAAGCAAGTGGCAGAGTGAAAGGTTTAGTCTTTCCAACAAAATAAAGTGACATTTTGCCATCCCTTGAATCCAGAATCATGGATATCAGTTAAAAAAAATATTTGTCACTTGAGCTGCACTTCATCCACATGAAGAGACAGAAGCAACAGACATCTACCATCCTACAGTATAGAAGATTTTGTGACATGTCCTCTGCTAGAGGTTCATGAGTCCTGAACATTTCAGCTGCCTGTGAGGGGAGAGGTGATGTTCACAAGTAGATAACAGGGAGAATGTGAGAGGAGAGAGAAGTCTCCAAGAGAAGATTTTCAGCTCTGGAGTTGAAAGAAGCTTTAAAACGCTATCAAATCCACTGTGCAAGCAAATAAAAATAAGATGTGGGAAGCTCCTGGATACCTGCTGGCAGGGAAGCCTGACTGAACCATCCAGAGGATGGGAAGAATATGAGGTGAAAACCTGGCAATCTGCAGGAGCAAAGGAAGCCCAAAAGAAAAACTGAGCCCTTTTGCAGCTGCTGGCTCCCTTGTTCAGCAGGGGTGGCACAGACCCTCCAAACAGCAGCATTGCCTCCTCCACCCATGGGGAAGAGCCAATCCAGCCCTAGCTGTGCTGCTGGCATTGCCCACTTCAATCATCTCTCTCTCTCCCTGTTTGCTCCAAGGACTTTCCCCAGCAGTGCAAAGGATCTGAGGTCCCCCAGGGCTCTGCAAGAGAAACGAGTTTGTTTGGCTCAGCCTGAGGACTCCAGGACCTCCCAAGTGCTGGAAAAAGAGGACTGACTTGAAGGAAGATGGAAAAGCAAACTGAAGAGCCCACTTGTGTTGTACAGCTCAGGCTTCCAGAGCACTTCTGCTCCCCGTGCTCGTGTTTGGATTTGTCCATTCCTACGTAGGAGGGAGGTCACAGAGACAGGTTATTCAACTGCTGCTCCCTTGCAGGGAGCTCTGTGTTTACTGGCTGCTCTGAGGAAAGACATAAAACAAATGCACTGGCCAGATGAAGGTATTTCTAAAGAAAAATAAGAAAAAAATAAGAAACCAAACCGGGGAAAAGCAGCCACCTTGTGAAGCTTTGCAAGCTCCTGGTGGAAAGAGCAGACTGTGAAATTCCACAGCAGGTTGTTGCTGCCTTTTCACCATCTGTGCAGAATTCTTTTGAGACCTCTGAGCCTTCAGACAGACAGGGAAACAGAGAACTTTGGGAAAACTGCAGCCTGCTCACTCCTGCCACATAAACCTTCAGAGCCTTTTGTATGTTGTGCCTCGAAGACTTCCTATTTTTTCCCTGCCTTGGACTGCATTTCCCTGCCTGCCTGAGGCATCAAACAACTAATTCAGTGCTGATGGTCTCCTGTAGTTTACACCACTCCATACAACCCTCTGCTGTCCTGGATTACTGTCTCTATAAAGTATCAGAGTTAGTGCTGGCATGAACTACCAGGGAATATGAGCCTAGTTTTGATCAGTTCAAATAGTTATTATGTTTATATATAGTTTATTTATTTATAATAATAGTAATTGTATATAGTATAGTTAATTAATTTGTAAAATCCACAATGTCTGGCATGTGTTTACCTCATAGATGGTGTTTGGGAAGAAAAGGATAAACACCTTGATATCTGCTAAAGACAATAATTGTAGCCCAGCTGATCCTGATTTTAGTCTCTGCTCACTTAGAGCAGTTCAAGCTTTGCCTCACAGGATTTGACCTGAAGGCACATAAAGATTCAGGATTTATTTGTGTTCTGCACCAAGGTGTAACTCTGTGTGCAACAAACTTTTGGTCAAAATGTTTCACAAAGAATAAAACCTTGTTCAGTGAGTCCACTGCCACTGGTCAGTTGGGGTGGTTTGGACAAAGAGAGATGGTAGAAATGGACCTCTTTTTAAAGATAAATATAAGTCACTGTATCCAGTGGAAATGGTGGCTGGAACCAGATTTGGGGCAGTCACCTTTCCCACTTTTGGATGAGAAAACTGAAAAAGGGCAGCATCAGAGCCCTGCTGACCCTGCTGAAGCATGATGGGTGGAGGGATTGCTGTGAAGAGAATTCATTAGGCAGGAACAAGCAGTGTTAAACACATTCTGGTTGCTCTTCCTCTCAGATTTTGGCTGTAGAAAACAAAGCAAGTTATAACACACAAAAAAACCCAGCCTCATGTAAAACAAAGGAGCTCTGCATTTCATGCAGGACCAGTGGCTGTTCTTTGTGAAGCCTCTCAAAAAATAAGCAAGAAATCCTTGAGAACACGAAGCTAAACACAGTAGGCAGGGAAATGCACAGTGTGGCATTGTAAGCAGAGTTAAGTCTGAGACAGATTTTCTAAGCCTCAGACACAGCTTAGAAAATCAGGTGAGGTTGTCCTTGGGCTGGTCCTGTGCAGGGCACCCACCAAAAGCTGTTACTCACCAGTGGAACCCTTGACAGTCGTGGGTTTGCTTTTGTGCCTGCCCTTCTCTGCCACCAGGCTGATGGTGTACTCTGTGCCTGCATCCAGCCCCCTGAGGATGAAGGAGGTGCTGTCCACTGGGATCTCCACTTCGCTCCTCTTGCCAGAGGGACTGGTGTAAGCGAGGCGGTAGCGGTCGAACTTGGCCACCGGCCTCCTCCAGCGAAGGGCCAAGGTGGTTTCAGTGGGGTCACTGACTTCCAAGTCCTTGGGGTTATCAAGATCTAAGAGTTGAAAAAAAGCACAGCTGAGATGTCTCTGAACTGCCCTGGGACAGGCACAGACAGAATAACATCCCCACTGGGTGTCTGGGCACAGCTCAGGGTCTTGTCCACCTTCTGGAGTTTGTGAAGCCCAGGTGGGTAGAGGATGATGAAGTTCTCTTTTACAAACAAACCACACTAGGACAGATTTCCCCCACTGACACTCACTTCACATGCAGGAGAGGCAGAATTAGAGCCTTCAGAGAATTCACCTGGGAAAAGGGGGGAGTTGTGAGAAAAATTATGGATTTGAAGGTCAGTCAGGACTTGCAATCACCAAGGCTGCACTCATGGCCAGATCAACATTTTGGCCATCACTTCCTGCCAGAAACCCTCACAACTAGAGGATGGCCAAATCAGTGTAAGCATAATTACCACTGAAGAGCTCACCTGGAGATGAAAATCCCAGAACACTGAGAAATCCTCGTACAGGAAAAAGAAGCCACACTCAGAGGTCAAGATCTTTAGGGGAAAGATTTTTCCCTTGAGGGAAAATGCCCCATTGGGAGCAAACTGAAATTAAGAACTTTCTAAAATAGTATTTATTCCATCATTTGGAAATGAAAGAGTGGCTCCACAGGACTTGGTGCTTCCTCCAGAGCAGAAAGGGGGGTCAGGTAGGTCAAGCACTCACCAGTACCAGCGTTGATGGTAGCAGGGGCACTTTCCCTGTTGTTCCTCACTGCTGTCACTCCAATGCCATACTCAGTTCCAGGCCTCAAACCTAAGAGATGAGGAAAAGGAATATGAGCTCCTGTGCATGGAATACACCTACAGGCATTTGTTTTAACAAGGAAGGCTCAGTGTGTGCCAGGTAAGATGGATGCTTTCCTGAGTATGCAGGGAATCAAGGTTTCAGCTAACCCTGACCTGATGTTAATAAATCTTTATTCCACTTACATACCAAAGGATAAAGATTATGTCTGACTGACATTGCATTTTGGACACTGCAAATGCACAATCAGAGATAGCTTCTACTTTCCAGAGCTGGCAGTGGGAGTAGCTCTGCCAAAGAAAAGCAGGTTGGCACCTACACAACATGGAGGAAGAACCATGACCTGGCCTTGCAGGGTGGGAAAGCAACTTGCAGGTACACAGAGAAGCTGCAGACTGGCACCAGTAAATACCATCCCTGGCACATGCAAACACCTTTGGAACTCAGGGTGTGAAGCCCCCTCCCCAGAGATGTGGAGCTGCCCAGAACTCAGGGAACTGCCTGGTGGGATTGAGGGATGCACATGGAAGGGAAATGGCTACAAACCCTTCTGCTGGCTGGTCATCCACCTGCAGGTGTGGACAGACACATCCCAGGGGTTTTAATTTAACTGGGTGCACTTAAAAATCAGAGAACCACAGAATGGTTTGGGTTGGAAGGGACCTTAAAGATCATCCAACCCCCTGCCATGGGCAGGGACACCTTCCACTAGCCCAGGTTCCTCCAACCTGGCCTTGGACACTTCCAGGGATGGGGCAACCACAACTTCTCTGGGCAACCTGTGCCAGGGCCTCCCCACCCTCACAGGGAACAATTCCTTCAGTACATCTAATCTAAAATGTGTGACCCACCTGTGAGTGTAGCTCTGGTTGTGGCTTGGTTGCCCTTTGGCACCGTGATCTCCACGTGGTCTCCACCAGAGATGGGGGCAAACTTGATTCTGTAGTTGTCGACGTTGGCGTGGCTGTTCCTCCACTCCAGGGTGATGCTGTTGTCTGTCTGGGACACTGGCTTCAGGTTTCTGGGAGCATCCAAGTCTGTAATCCATCAAGCAATAAATAAATAAACAGGAATATTTCTCTTATGACAACAGTCTCTTCTAACAATACTTTTTAAAAGGTGAAATGACCCACAACACTGAAGTTAAGTTTCTCTTCACCTGATATGACTTAACTACACCAAGCAGATTTCTTTTGGCATAAAATGGAGAGTTCATCAGCTTTGGAGAAAACATCACTTCAAGAAATTAAACTTTTGTCTCCTCAGACTAAAATAACATTTTCAATGGTAATAAATATTTTTTATTACAAAATAGGCTTGTGGAAAAATGTATTTGGATGAAAACACTATTGTCCTTTATAAATGCCTCAGCTTTCAAAAGGAAAAATGCTGCTAAGAACAAAGAACTGATCATTTCTAGAGTTTCTGTTCAGTAAATATCTTGCATTTGTGGCTGAATGAAACTCTGAGTCTCAAAAAAAAAGGGTGAATATTATGTAGAAATTCAATGGGCTCTTCACTGTTCACACCTCAAATCCTGCTCTGAAGGAACAACTGTATTTTAGGACGAAAAGAGAGATAATTCTCTATGTACCATTTTGTCCCTTAATGCATCAAACCTTGATAACATGCAACAGGACCCACACTTTCAAAAAACATTCCCAGGGGCACTGAGGAGCAAAGTCAATTTATAAAAGCACGACAGAAAACATTTGCAGAACTGGAGGAGGGAAAAAACCAGTTCTTTGCTAATCTGATACATATTTAGACAAGAAACAAGGCCTTAGATGGAACAGGAGCCATGGAAGACCTTTAGCTCAGCAGACAGAAAAATAATCCAGAGGAACTTGTTTCTGAGAGATTTAGGGTACGAGACACAATGACCTAAATCCCATTTTCAAAATATATTTAGATTTTAAATATTTTGTCGAGCCAGGAAAGCATATGAGGCACAGACAAAAAAAACATTCTCCACTTTCCTGTCCCTCTATAAACGTGCTGATTCCATGCTGGTCTCCAGCCTCTCACCTGTGACAAACACTTCTTTCACAGGGTCACTTTCCATGTCCCCTCGACGAGAGACAAGTGTCACTTCATACTCTGTGTGCGGCCTCAGGTTTCCAATGGAATACTGGTTTTCATCTTCAGAGAGCTCAATGGTTGTCCTGTCCCCTGGGATGTCCTTGGGGCCATAGGTGAGCTCTATGTCTTCAACTTCAGCCAGGGGTTTGGACCATGTGATGAGGGCTGTGGTGTCCGTGACGTCTTTTGCCTCGACCTGGCTGGGGGCATCAAGCTCTGTCATAAAAAAAAAATAGACAGAAAAAGGTGTTTTTTGAAAGAAATCTTGCCATAAAAAACACAGACATCCTTATGTTTTTAATTGCTGATTCAGAGCAAAATTAAAATTAGTGACTTTGACCAAGTTTTATTATTTTCCTTTACTCTCTTCCAATAGGTTTAGACTCCAAATGGAATCATTTCATCAGAAGCAAATTCATCAACATTCATTCACATCAGAAGCTGCCAGAGGAAAGGCAAGCAGGAACCCTGAGAGCTTCTCCAGCTCCATACAAACATCACCAGGATGAAAAAAATTTTAGTTCCTGTTGATGTACATTTTGAAAAAGAGTAAAAGTGCATCCTGCCTGCTCCCTTCTAGCTGAACATAAATTTCCTTTCCTCTGTAGGTAATTTGGAAAGGAATTAAATCTCCTTCACAAATTAACTTTTCATTAGCAGCTCCACTACTTCCTTTTCACCCCTATGAATTCACAGGATAGAGCTTGGGTTTCTCTCTGTTTAAAAGTTTGGTTTTAAAAAAAAACAACCAATGTTTGCTGTTGGCCAAAAAAATACAGGCCAAATAGAGGTTGTCCTTACTTGTTGTTATCACTTTGGACAGTCCAGGTCCTCTGGTGTTGTTTTTCACTACATGAATGGACACATTGTACTGTTGCCCAGGTGCCAAACCTGGCTGCATGTAAGATGTCTCTGGCCTTTTCAAGCTGCTGGTTATATCTCCATTATCATCCTTTTTCTGCAACACATGGAACAATAATCTGTCAGGATAACAGAAAAAAAGCCAGGATTTTTCACTCCACATGAACACACAGGAAGCTGCTTCCTCACCATGTTGTGGAAGACCAGCTCCCAGCCATCAAAGGAAAAGTTCAGAGGGTCCCACTCCACCTGGACGGACGTTTCTCGAACAGATTTGAACCTCAAACCCTCTGGAGCAGGGAGATCTGGGGCAGAAAAAAGGGAAATCCTCACATGAGCAACAAGTTCTCATAAATAGGGCACAGGGTGGGACATCTTTCCACCACTAGAAGTGTCTGCTGTGTAGGGAAGTGCAGCTGAGCTGGTCAAACCACCTCCCAACCAGTTATTCTGTCTTTGGAGAGGCTTTCCTCTGAGCTGGTTTGGATGTCACCTTGAAGTAAAATGAATTTTGACCTAGAAACCTCTTTTTTTATGCCCTCTTGACTGTCCCTGGTGTGGACATTTGCAGGCAGGTGAGCTGAATCCTGACCCAGGTCTCTAAAAACGAGCTCAGGGACAGAAGTCAAAGAGCACCTTTTGAGGCTGTTTAGATATGACTGTGATGTGCACAAAATATAGAGGAAGATGAACAACAAAAGGACAGACAGGCAGATAAAAGTCTAGTTGTGGTAAAACTAAAGATGCAAAAAAAAATATAACCTCCTTTTAACCAAACCAGTTTGAATTCAAGTGATTTCGTATTGCTTTTTTACACACTGTACATTTTTTATCAGTTTTTTTTCAGGAATAATGACCAGAATTTTAAAATGTACATTATAATCGAGAAGCCAAGGTTCTTAATTTGCAAAGACCCCATGGTGTTAATTGGGAGGCACAGCAAAGAGCAGAAGAGCCTGTGAACTGTATTTTTAACACAGTCGTTGGCACTGGAAAAGAATAGAAAATGAAAGTGCAAAAGGCTGTCTCTGTCCAGAACAGATGAATTGAAACTAGAAAATACAAAAGAAATAATATCTCCAAGAGAAGGAGGCAAATCAATACAAATAAATTGCAAATAGAAGTTAAAAAGAAATAAAGTTCCCAAAAAGGGAGGCAAATCAACATAAATGAATTGAAAATAGAAAATAAAAAATAAAATGTCCCACAAGATGGATGTGAATCAATACAAATTATTTGAAAATAGAAAACACAAAATACATAATAATACCCCAAAATGAGGGGTGCAAATCAATGCATGCTATGGAATGGACAGAAGGATGGATTGAGGGAATGTTAAACTCACATGTGGCTACCCTGGCACTGACTGGGATGCTCTTCTTGTTTTTAAGGATGGCAAAGACACGGATAAAATATTCCACCCCCGGCTCCAGCTCGTGGATGGTGGCAGCTGTCTGGTTTCCTGGCACAGTGAACTGCATGTCCAAGCCCCCAGTGCTGGTGGGGACGTAGGTGACCAGGTACTCATTGACAGGATTCTCATGTTTCCATTCCAGGTTGACAGTTTTATCCGTCACGTTGGTCACCGTCAGCTCGGTTGGAGGAGACACTGGGAGGTGGAGGGGGAAAGAAAATAAAGTTATAAGAAGTTTTCATGGCTCGGAAAATAACGACTTCCCCAGTTTTCCCATTTTCCCAGGGATTTCATGAGAATTATCTAACAGGGGCTGGGGAAGCCACGGCCCACAAATTAACTGCTGAGGAGAGGAATGCTCGGCTGATGAAGACCACAGACATTTCCAAAATCACGGGGCCAATTCCTACCCTCACACTTGCACACAACCTCTGGCTGACTGTGTTCCAGCTCCTCCTCTCGTGGCTGCAGCACAAGACTGTTAGAGCTGCGTCCCCAGGGGCTCAGATGGTTCATTCAACTGCCAGCAACACGTGATTGTAGAGCTGCAAGTCCTGGGACTTGCGCAGATTTTCCAAAGTAAAACCAAGCGTTGTTATTTTAGTAAATACTGCCAATAGATCTCCACGTGCAAGAGCACAAAATGGAGCTTAGGCCTCTTCTGGAAGGAGGAGATGAAAGATGGGAAATTTCTTTTTAAGGGTATTCATTGTCTTTTATGGTGTTCTCAACCCCAAAGCATTCTTTGATTACCCTACAAAAATTTAGTTTCCAAATTTCTCCCCTGGGATCTGCTAAAGAAAACTACCTCATTTATAGTGTAAAGCCTGTCATTATCCAACTGCCAAAATCCTCTATCAATTTCCATGGAGTAAGTGGTAGTGGGAAACTCAGCATGGGACTTTAGAGCTGAGTTTCCATTCCAGCCTATTCCATGATTTTCCTCTAAGCTTCTGTCAGATCTGATACACACTCCTCCATATAAATATAGAAATGTATATATAAAACCTCCATATAAAAAAATGAATAAATTATATATATATAAATAAATAAATATAAATATAGGTATAAAACAAATATATGTTATATATAAATCTATATGTATAAATAAGTATAGGTATAAACAAATATATATATTACATATATATATATATATGTAAAATACACACACATCTGTGTATTAAGAAGACTCTGGATACATCTCCCTCTCCTCCATAGCTAGAACAGTTTCTTTCAGATGCCCTTTTTTTCAGCATCAAGAGATACCACTAGAAGGTGAAATATCATGGTGACAAATCCCAGGCATGGCTGGTTACAGCTCCAGTGACATTGTGGTGGGAGCAGAATCACAGAATCAACTGGGTTGGAAAAGACCTCCGAGATCATCGAGTCCAACCTGTGACCCAACCCCACCTTGTCACCCAGCCCATGGCACTGATGCCACATCCAG